CATGAACAGACTAGATAAGTAATGATTACATCATGAACAGACTAGATAAGTAATGATTACATCATGAACAGACTAGATAAGTAATTATTACATCATGAACAGACTAGATAAGTAATCATTACATCAAGGAAAACAATGCAAGTGATTATTGCATCAAGAAGAAACCAAATATAAATGATTATTACCTCGTGTCGCAACAGCGAAACGTTTAAAATGCCACCTTGGCAACATTTTCATGAGAAATGTTATTGATATTTTTAAAAATAAATATAGTATAGAAATCAGTATAGGGTGTTCACCCTCTTTATTACAATCTTACTCCTGAAAAATAAAGACAAAAAAAAAACCCACTCGACAATGTTCACTGCAGCGGAATAGACATGTTTTTGTTGCAGCACGTTCGAATAAATAGAAAACTCCAGAAAGCTCTACTACAGATGTGATGATTAGATTGGGGTTATTGATAAGTTTCTTCAGGTGTACACCAGAATACAGCATGTTAGATTGGGGTTATTGACAAGATTCTTCAGGTGTACACCAGAATACAGCATGAAAAACTTAATATTATTGTTTATTGTTTTTTTTTTTGTTTTTTTTTTAGATTTGCAAGTTATTCGTGTCAGTCGTGAAATGAACTGACGCTCCTGATTGGCTATTGCACATCTGGATATAGTAGCCTTATTAAAGCCAGCAATCCTTGCAGACCTTGTCGTTAAAAGTTCGAATACACTCACAGCACCCAATCTTCTTTCTGAGTTACAGTCCTTAGATTTCTCACTTCGTCATATATAACATACATCTCTGTGGTATGGGAAGTATTTTTTATATCTTTAACTTTGTGAAAGTTATTTTTGTTTCTGTGATTTGGCAGGTTGATTGACATTAACTTACTTTGTGAAAATGATTTTTAAAAGCCCCGGATGAGACATTATCACACACATAAACTCAAAGTTTTAGTAATTATCACGCTATGGATAAGTTATAGAGATTGAATGATGTACACTAAAATATATAAGTAAACGGATACTTACTCAAAGTATTTTTTTATAAGAAAAATACAATGTAAGGCACTCGGAGTCTGAAAGGCTGTCTTTTCCTTTGTTGTTCAAAAGCAATTATTCCTGTAGAAAGATTTAACATAAAAATATGTTTATACATAATAATTGATAGTATTGGCTTAGTGTAATCACAGATCCTAACACCAAGTCATTGTGGATAATTTCCATGTTTTCATTGGCCTCTCCCTTCATCCAGTAAGCTCTAGCACTTGTAACATTAACATTCGTGTTTTGATCTCTGCAGTGGGAGCAAAGTAGATAGTTCGTTATACATATTTATGTTTAAACAAATAAATTATCTTTAAGTGGGTCTATGATGTATGGAGTGTGCCGAAATGTTGACCCGAGTCAATAAATAAATAAATCAGTTTTATTTAGGTCAGTGATGTGCAGTAGTGTTGACCCGAGTCAATCCTACCACTGTAGAGTTTTCATTAACAGTAAACTTATTTTTAATTGCTGTTAAAAAGAAGCCTTAAAAGAATGTAAAAGGTATAATGCTTGGTCGGGACATTGCCAACTATGGATAATTTAAAAAATCTGTGAAATAAAAATAAATATTTATTATTGTTAAAACCTAGAAAAGAAGCTATTGTTATTGAAAGATAGTTATTTAGAAAACCAAGACTGTTGATGTAGTTGTTATTAATGTAATAAATATTAAAAAGTAAGTAAAATACTGCGGTGGAGCACCTAGAAGGTTTTTAGTCATGGTCACTTTGAAGTGGTGGTACACCTAGAAGTTTTTATTTGTGGTCACTTTGAAGTGGTGGAGCACCTAGAAGCGTTTTTAGTTGTGGTCACTTTGAAGGACTAAAGCCATTAAAAGTCTTGGGAGTTATGGTCGCCTTGAGGGCATGGAGTGATTATTTATATCTATAATTTTATTTTTCAACATTTGAAAAGGATTAATTCCAAACTGTTTTGATGCGTTCAGGCCTAGGCTTCTCTGAGCTTGAGGGTCGGTTGTACTAGATCAAAGTTTTATTCTTTGATTTTTACATTTTTCTCAAGAAAAACATTACGTCAAAAGACATTCATGCAAAACACATTAGAAGGCTAACTGTGTAATCTGGAAAATAAAGTATAGAAAGTCAACATTGTTTGACTATTTTATTTCAGATGTTGGTAAAATAAATGTTACGTTATGAATGGGAACTGAACGGGCCAAAAGTAGTTTTTGTGGGGCCAGGCCCACCTGCTAGCGACCATCTCTCGCTCAGGTTATCTCACAACGAAGATGGGACTTACTTCAAAGTGACCACGAACAAAACACTTCTAGGTGTTCCACAACTTCAAAGTAACCACAACTAAAAATCTTCTAGGTGCTCCACCACTTCAAAAGGACCACAAACAACACACTTCTAAGAGTACCTGATGATGACAAAACCTTGTCGAAACGTTGTACATTTGCTGTTATATTAAAGTTTTTCTTCATTACCCATTCAAGCCGTCTCCAGCCATTATTACACTTCTAGGAGCTCCACCACTTCCAAGTGACCACAACTAAAAATCTTCTAGGTGCTCCACCACTTCCAAGTGACCACAACTAAAAATCTTCTAGGTGCTCCACAACTTCAAAGTGACCACAACTAAAAATCTTCTAGGTGTCCCACCACTTCAAAGTGACCATGACTAAAAACCTTCTAGGTGCTCCTCCATTTCAAAGGGACCACAAACAACACACTTCTAGGTGTTCCACAACTTCCAAGTTACCATGACTAAAAACCTTCTAGGTGCTCAACCACTTCAAAGTGACCAGAAATAAAAATCTTCTAGGTGCTCAACCACTTCAAAGTGACCAAAAATAAAAATCTTCTAGGTGCTCCACTACTTCAAAGTGACCACAAATAAAAACCTTCTAGGTGCTCCACTACTTCAAAGTGACCATAACTAAAAACTTCTAGGTGTTCCACCACTTTAAAGTGACCATGACTAAAACCTTCCAGGTGTTCCACCATTTCAAAGTGACCAAAATGTAAAAGATTTCTAGGTGCGCCAGAAAGAGACCGTTTATTTTCATTTTTCCTCTCCTCCCCCGCTTCGAGAGCCCAGTCACTCTATGTAAAAAACAGACACGAGCCCTTGAACTTTGCACACCTCTTTTATGCAATTCATCCTTTTCGTGTGTAATCCTCTTTCACTACGTATGTTTCTAACAATGCAGTGCATTCGCTAACATTGTTAGGAAGACAGTGGTATAAAAATATTCTGTATTCAGTAACTCGTCAAATGACTCAATTTTTGTATATGGCACCACGTGTTTCAGAAAATGATATTTACTGACTACAAGCTTCACTTATGTACATATGTGGTAATCTAAGTTTTTAAGAATGTGTCTTATTCGTAAGTACTTGGAGGTTTACCCTTTACTTCAGCTGAAAGGAAGGAATCCGAACCAAGGAAATGAAAAATGTTGTTACCATACATATTCCTGGGGAAAAATGTTGTTACCACACATATTCCTGGGGAAAAATGTTGTTACCACACATATTCCTGGGGGAAAATGTTGTTACCACACATATTCCTGGGGAAAAATGTTGTTACCACACATATTTCTGGGGAAAAATGTTGTTACCACACATATTTCTGGGGAAAAATGTTGTTACCACACATAATCCTGGGGAGAAGGCTTTTATAGTTTTACACAGATGAAGTCTTATCCAAAGAGAAAGGAATTTTCCCAATGTTACAAAAATAAATTTAACATAAGAGAGAGGTAGCCTTAGTGTTGCGATAACTACATTTATTTCATACCATCAGTTGGTCACTCTCTATGTGACTGGTCACTTAAAGACATGGGCAGTGGGATCTTGTAGCCATCACCATCACGAGGACACATTACTGTTTCTTCAAACATAATACATGATGTTTACATGTTCCAAAGTTGTATTTAATCTTAACACACTTTGGAGCAACGACATGACCTGGTTTGAAATGATCTTCTGTTATAGTTGCAGTGAATAACGTGTTTATGAAGATATTAGCTACAACTCAGTGGTCAGTAAAGGACTTGATCTATCGAAGGTTTACTTCCTTTCTATTTCTCCGTTCGTGAGGAATGATTACAAGCTCAAGGGTTCATCCAGACTTACTGGACAGGGACAGTCACATGCCGATTCCTTCATTCGATCTGAACATTCTCATTTAATGATAAAATTACAATCTCCCTATCACGAAGTAGGCTCAGAATATCATATGTTTAATCCTGTTCACGAGAGATGCAAAAACTGGCACCCAAGCCTGAAATGAGGTTCAGGGACAACATTTGTTTGTGAGAGGGGAAGAAGGTTGGAGTTGTAAAAAAAAAAGTGTCTTACACAGTGGCTGCGGCTGTCTCGAATTCGGAGGGAGCCCCCTCTAGGGCGGTTTCTGTGATATCTACAAGTTCGATACAAAGCCAATGAACTAAAAAATACATTTCTAGTGTTACATAGGGAAAGTTGTATTGAAAGAGATAGAGAAAGTTCGGCCTAGTGTCACACAGGTAAAACTCTATCCCCTGAAAGGGGGGGGGGACGCTTCTGATTGTGATTAACTTAATATATAAATAACTTTTTTTCTTCTGTCGGCGTTCTTTGAACTAACTGCCCAATGTAGATATTGTCAAATAGCTACAGTCACCTTTTATGAGAATTTGTGTTTACCTTTCCAATTTATTTACATAAATTTATTTAAAAGAGTAATTGTGCATTGTGAATTTGAAGTATTGCATTTAGCTAAAGAGTTAGAAGCTCTAAAATGAAGTATGTTAGATAAAGATATGTGTAGAATCCCATCATTATATCTACACCATTCAGAGTTCATATATTACTCTCTGTATCAGTTAGGGCTACAGTCATTGAACGCAACATTGTGTTGCGCGTTAATTAAGCTTAGCTACAGCTATTGATTTGAACAATTTTTTGCTGGATTGTTAGGATTATATACAAGAAATACATTCAAAAATATAACATCTAAATTATTAAATAGCTCCATTATGAGTTAAAATCTTAACTCCAATAATTGGCGAAGCATTGGAAAATCTAAAATATGCGATAAAAACATATAAACTGCAAACCTATTTGTTTGTTTTTTAATTTGTTCATTTCTAATTTCAACTTGCAGGTGGTGTATAAAAATAGCTTTTCAGACCCATTATTTTGTCACTCACGAGTCACTGTCCAAGAGGTCTTCCATTCATTACCAGAGCTGGTTAGCTACAGCTGGATGATGGGAATCAAAAGTTTATCTGAAACCCTTTATATATACACGCACGTACGCAGAGGGAGTTCGAGGGGGTTCGACCAAACCCCCTATTTTTGTGATATAAAAAAATACTTATATAGTTATAGTGCAGGTACTATGGTATTTAACTTTTGCTACATAGTTTACATTCTTCTGATGAAGCATTAGCATTTTATGGCTTGAAATAGTGGCATGCGATGCTGTATTGTTACTGTCAGGTTTTATAGGCCGGATTACTTACAGTAAGTATCTATAATTTGTTGGCGATAAATTTCAGCAAGAAACAAACGTCAACACAGTCCACTTGTTTTAAAATAATATATTAAAACAAGCCAAACGTATACACAAATGTTCGCTACACTCGATTATCAGTCTTATCCACACAGGCGGGTTTAATTACTTTAGATCACAACTGACAAGATGAATTATTCTTTTCTGCTGTGTTATTACAATACAGTCTGTGATAATTTCACTTTAAAAATCCCCACTATACGCTCTTTATCACTAAGGCCCGGCATGGCCAGGTGGTTAAGGCACTCGACTCGCAATCTGAGGTTCACGGGTTCGAATCTCCATCCCACCAAACATGCTCGCTCTTTCAGCCGTGGGGGCGTTATAATGTGACGGTCAATCCCACTATTCGTTGGAAAAAGAGTATCCCAAGAGTTGGCGGTGGGTGGTGATGACTAGCTGCCTTCCCTCTAGTCTTACACTGCTAAATTAGGGACGGCTAGCGCAGATAGCCCTAGTGTAGCTTTGCGCAAAATTCAAAAACAAAACAATTATCACTAAACTCACAATCACACAGTCTAGACCTAAATAATAATCTTTTGACGCGTATTTATAGCTCGGCAGAAGCTAAGAACGTTCCACGCAATACTAGATATTCTGATGCAATAATATTATGAGAACCTATGAGAACAATTCAGAAAGTTCTAGTAACATGACGCAACAATATAACAATCACTAACTCATAACTGTTGAACGTATACGCGACACAACATATGATTCGTAAACAATTACGTAAACAAATTTGCCATTAACTCTCGCTTCTATAAATAACTAAATATGACACCTACACTATATAAACTGTCCAATCATAATTCTCCCATTAAACTTAAACAATCGTGTATATATGTATCAGTTAGGGCTACAGGTGTTGAAAGCAACACTTTTTTTGCACATTAATTAGGCTTCGCTACTACTGCTGATTTGAACAATTTTTTTGCTGGATTATTAGGATTATACACAAGAAATACGTTCAAAAATGTAACATTTAAATTATTAATACACCTGGTTTTGAGCACAAGCAAGTTTCGTCTTGTCACGGAAATAGAACTATAAAGTGATTGTGGGTTTGAAGTTTAAGGATTTTTGTAGATTTTAATTTTCGTACAAGGAAGGAGCTAATAATCTTAAACCGAATTGAAAATTACAAGTAAGAGTCTGGCTCGATCTCGAAGGTCTAGCTAATATATCGTATACTGTGTAGTCTCTCGAAGGTCTAGCTAATATATCGTATACTGTGTAGTCTCTCGAAGGTCTAGCTAATATATCGTACACTGTGTAGTCTCTCGAAGGTCTAGCTAATATATCGTATACTGTGTAGTCTCTCAAAGGTCTAGCTAATATATCGTATACTGTGTAGTCTCTCGAAGGTCTAGCTAATATATCGTATACTGTGTAGTCTCTCGAAGGTCTAGCTAATATATCGTATACTGTGTAGTCTCTCGAGACTACACAGTATACGATATATTAGCTAGACCTTCGACACTTGTTACTGAATCACCTATATGAAACTGATTGCAGCGATAAACGAATGTTTTTACCAGCAAAAGAAAATGATTGACACACGACGACCAAGGTACAGTATTGCGTAGCTTTGCTGCTTTAGTAGCTAATATAACCTTTGTCACGCAATTTGAATAGCTACCTTATGTTGTGTTATGTATAGGTTTGGTGTTTTAAATTATAAACTTTGCGTTTAGTCCATGAATAATTATATTATAATTCGTCTATATATCTTTACTATATAAACTACAATGTTATGTTAAAGCTATATACTGGTTGCCCCTTTAAAATTACAATATATTTTTGTTTTCAGACACTGCTAATGACACAACCCAGTCAACATCTCAGTCTCTCTCTGGTGCCAGCGATTGTGAAGCTTGTGAGGCTGACACTATTGAGCTATATTTTTGTGCCGATAATACTGATTATATGCAAACTGGTTTACTTGAGCCTCAAACTGCTTCAAGCACTGACAACCCCGTTCTTCCTGGACCATCATCATCACACTGCACTACACCAGTCATGGATTCATTAGAGATTTGTCATGGTATTTCTGTAGTCACCGAGCCATGCATTTACATTGGCAATTTATTGACACCAACAAAATCAGTTGATGAAAAATGAGAAGCTGTTGGTGATCTATGAAATGGTGAAATGTATTCCTATCTTTTTAAGCGTGTGGCTCCACCAAACATTTTTCCTTGCACTTTTACTCGTGGGTGTAACCGCAAGTTTAACCGCCTTGAAAAATAATTATGATTATCGTACAGCCCCAAATTGGATGGCATTTTTTTGTGATACCTTTCTTTCAGTGCATAGTCAACGTTATAAAGTATTACTTGTCAACAAGTCATTTAACTACTAAAATTAGCTATCAGTGATACTTTAAGAAAACATTCTAAGCTTGTTTATCATCGTGATACTTACTATGCAGGTTGCTGATGCTTTGAAGGCTTCCGTTAAACATCCATCATCCAGTATAATTGATATTATTACCAACAGTGCCCTTCAATCATGTGTAAATCAGAATAAACATATTCTTCATCAAATTGTTCGTGCCATTTTGATTTTAGGAAAACAAGGCTTAGCATTTCGTTGCGATACCGAAGGTGTAAATTCTGGCAATTTTCTGGCCTTGTTGAAAGATTGTGCAGAAAATGATGTATCATTTGTATCATCCCAAAAAATTCTACATATTTATCTCTCTTCTCACATAATGATATCACTGATGTCATAGGGCATAAAGTAATTAGAGTAAAAATTATTGATGACGTAAAAACGGCTAGTTTTTATTCTTATCTTCCTGATGAAGTGTCTTCTCACAATGTGAAACATTTTCCAATATGTCTCCGCTTTGTAGATGACAACTATGAAATTAGGGAAGAATTTATTGGTTTTGTTAAACTACACGGGGTCAGAGCAACAGATATTGTATGTGCAGTTACAAAGATATTGACTGATGTTGGATTATCTCTAAATGAATTGTGTGGTCAATGATATGACGGTTGGCAAAAAATCTGGTGTCCAAAAACAAATTCGAGATATGCAAAGCAAGGCCTTGTACACTCATTGCACAGGTCACTCACTTAATCTTGTTATTGTAACTTCATGATCAGTTCCATCAATACGAAATTGTATCGATCAAGTTAAAGGAATTAATCCCCCCCCCCCAAAGTGGAACTTTTAAAGGTAATCTATCATCAAGCAGCTTCATCACGTCTTCCACTACTGAATGTGTACATTACATGCTAGGTCACGTTTTCCACTACTGAATGTGTACATTACATACTGGGTTACGTTTTCCACTACTGAATGTGTACATTACATGCTGGGTTACGTTTCCACTACTGAAAATCATATTTGAATTCATTTTTGTTTAACAGCTTTACAACGTTCCATTTACTATTTTAAAGAAGCTTCTGTAAATTTGCAAGGTCCGAATCAAGACATTGTTTCTGGTGTTTCCCTAACAAAACAATGCTGTACAGAAGTGACTCACTAAAAGTGAACATAGATGATTATTGACATCGTATTAATTATTCACATCTCATGCTAGCATAATAGTTCAGTAGTGCATACATGTACGTATGTGATAGCCAGTGAGTGAAATAGCTAATAAATTTTGTACAGAGTTGTTTAAATTAGTAATATAATTTAACAATTAATAACTACTCTACATGTAGATAGTACAGTACTTTACTATAATAAAACATACAGATGTATGCTAACTTAAGTCTAGCTCCCCATTCAGTGTTACAACAGAATGATGATTTGTCGACTGTTCATTGGATGTTTCTGGATTTGATGTGAACAGTCATGCAATTGTTTGAGCTATATTTTCATGCAAAATTGCTTCCATATTTAATCTCATAGCACCTATTTTTTACAAAGTTTCTGGGGGACCATGCCTCCGAATCCCCCGTAGCATTAGTATGCCTTGAATGCAGGTTGTGCTTCGCAGAATATGTGTTGGCTTTTGATCTTACAAATTAGAGCCCCCCTTCCTTTGAAACATTCTGCGTACAGACCTGGTATAAGAGTATAAAAGTTATAGTTTAATCCCGGACAGATGGCAAATCATTGGAAACCAAGACGTTTACGCTTCTAACATTTACGTAATTTTTTTATCACAAGTGTTAGGCCTGTTAGCTTCAAGATAGTTATTACTTGTGGAGCATATTTGAAACTTCCTTTCTCTGAGATTTATAAGAACAATGTCTCAGGCCTGGTTCTACCCTTGGAAATATTTAGTTATTACCTCAGTCGTCGGTTGTCATGGTTACACACTGTTGCTCAACATCAGAATATCCACTGTAACAACCTGCTGTAAAAAAAAAAAAAGTAAAATCAATCTTTGACATGTCTTCCACCCCTGGGGAAAGTCTGAGTGCTTAAAGCGCTAAAAATCAGATTTCGATACATGCAGTGAGCAGAGAACAAATAGCCCATCGTGTAGCTGTGTGCTTAACAACAAATAAGCAGATGCACAGTACATAAACATCAGCTTGTAAATCATGAATAAACATCTGTTGACTTCAAAGAGTGACACGAAGTTTGTGACCCTCAGGCTTGTAAGGCACGAATAAACAACTATTGATTTCAAGGTTGACACGAAGTTTGTGACCCTCAGGCTTGTAAGGCACGAATAAACAACTATTGATTTCAAGGTGTGACACGAAGTTTGTGACCCTCAGACTTGTAAGGCGTGAATAAACAACTATTGATTTCAAGGTGTGACACAAAATTTGTGACCCTCAGGTTTGTAAGGCACGAATAAACAACTATTGATTTCAAGGTTGACACGAAGTTTATGACCCTCTGGCTTGTAAGTCGTGAATAAACAACTATTGATTTCAAGGTTGACACGAAGTTTGTGACCCTCAGGCTTGTAAGTCATGAATAAACAACTATTGATTTCAAGGTTGACACGAAGTTTATGACCCTCTGGCTTGTAAGTCATGAATAAACAACTATTGACTTCATGGTGTGACACAAAATTTGTGATCATCGGGCTTGTAAGTCATGAATAAACAACTATTGACTTCATGGTGTGACACAATATTTGTGACCATCTGACTTGTAAGGCACGAATAAACAACTATTGACTTCAAGATGTGACACGAAGTTTGCGAGCCTCTGATTTATAAGTCGTGAGTAGATAATTATTAATTTAAAAAGAGTGACACGGCGTTTGTGAGTCTGTGGCTTGTAAGGCATGAATAAGAAACTATCGAGTTTAAGATGTGGCATGAAGTTTGTGAACGTTTAGTTGGTAGGTCTTCTTTAACTTCAAATTCTTGTTTATTATCTTGTTAAATGCAGCAATGGTTTTTGGGTGGGAAGGCTCTCTGTCGTAATAATAGCATTCACTGTGGATTGGCTTTCAGTATAATTTCGGTGCGCGTTGCTGTAGAAGTTTTATATTATCATAGAGGACATTAAAAGTTCTCTTATTCAGTGTGTTTTGTCGTTTGACTCAGTGAAAGAACTATTAATTATCCTTAACTCTACTCACATGCTGTCACATGTAAGAACTAACTGAACACAGCATGACCATATCTACGGTGGTGATACGTCACTGAATAACCTAAACATAACTCTCGATATAAGTGGTTCTGGCTTGACTTTCACATGCCTAATTTATATCAATTTCAAAATTAAACACTTGCTTAGCAGCCATTACGTATTAAACAATTGACAGGAAGTTTCACAGCACTTGTAATTAACTAGGATAGATGGCACCACTGAAATCAAAGAACGCAATTTAAATTTTTAAGTCTAAATTAGTTAATGCATTGTGAAACCGTTAATACATAATAAGCACGTGCCACCGGTGACCGGATGTATTTTTCTTGCATCATTCCAAGCTTGTTCATGATTAGAATTCGTAGTTCGTGCTGCAGTTTTGCTACATATGAAATAAGTACGCGTCTACAGGGGGTGTCTAATATCATGCTGAAAAAGACATCGTGTGCCTCTGACGTCATCGAACGATGAAGGTTTTTTGAAAGTCGCTCTGTAGATTGGTGTTAGGAAATTAACTTATTCAACGTTTTATTACATTTGTTTGTTGTTGTTTGCTACTGAGCACAAAGCTACACAAAAGGCTGTCTGTGTTCTGCGCACCACGGGTATCGATACCCGGTTTCTAGCACTACAAGTCCACAGACATACCGCTGTGCCACTGTGGGTGGGGGCGTTCTTTGTTTTACAGTAAAGCCACATTTGGCTATTTTCTATGTCCTCTGCGAGGAATCGAACCCCAGATTTTGGCGTTGTAAGCGTGTAAACTTACCACTGTCGCACCTGGGGACTTACGCTTTTATTTTTAATCTTTGGTAGAGCTTATTGCGTAACATAACAATTCTTAGTAGCAGATATAGTTATTTACGTTTTTGTATGATTACTCTTTGACAACTTTTGAATATAGATGGCTTTCTCTTACCCTAACTATCCTCAAAAATATATGTAATGTTATCTCTAGTTTTGGCGTGTTAAAATATATTCAGTAAAAAGTAAACAAGAAACAGTTGCATCTCATATCTTATAAAACGCTTTACATTGAATTTCTTAAACAGTGGCATCAAAATACTCAGGCTTTGCTATTGGAAACTGCAATATTAGTTTACAGTAACACGTGTTTTCATAAGACCTTTGAAATGAATTCTAGACCCACTACAGCATAAGGGAGTCTTACACACAAGATTAAATGCGGATCCCTGTCTCTCATTTCATTTAGCTTTTACTAGATTCTCTGTTTTTCCTGCCGCTGGTAGTTCGTTAGTTAGTCTGAGAGCTTATACCGCTAAAATATGGGTGTCGATCCCCGTGGTTGAAACAGCGTAGATAGCCCATTATTCGTCTTTGTGCTTAACAACAAACAAGAAAACGGTCTCTCATTTATTTGTCGCCCTCTACTGGCTCAACGATAGGCTTGAGGACCTGTAAATTTAAAGTTCGCGGTTAAATCCCTGTGTTAGACACAGTACGGATAGTATTTTAGTCTGATATTAAAAAAAAAACAACAACATTAATTTGCCTATCACAAACCCTTTTTCTTCATCTGTTAATCAATCGTTCAGTCTGTTATCAGTTATCTATTTCCAACAAATTTTCTGTTTCTCCTCACTAATATTTTTTCGCATCTTTCTGTCATTTATCTGTATATAATTAATACTCTACTTTACTATGACGTCATCTAATATTTTCTGACTCTTATTTTCACCTACTTATCTATCACATATCACCTCTTAATATTTTTATACACTTATCTGTCACTAATTTCTTCTAACTTTATTTTCTTGTGTCTCTCAACCACTAGTCTTAACTGTTTATAATTTCATCGATCTTACACTAATCATGTCTGTTTTTACCTTCACGTGTGTTACTAACGTTTTTTGTTTTGTTTTTCATTTAACTCTTCACTTATCTGTCTATTACCAACAGTGTTAACCAATTCCCTGTAACATATAATTACGTGAGATTTCAAGTGATGCTAGTGTTATAAAGATCATGGTAAAACTT